TAATATATATAATATATATTATATATAATATATGTATGTAATATATATTATTTACATAATATACATAATATATATAATATGTAATATGTATTATATATATATGATATTATATATATATATTTATGTGATATTATATATTATATATAATATATGTTTTATATATAATATAATTCAATATTTAATATATAGTGTAATCTTTTTATATTGCAATATATATATAGTTTATAGATATTATATATATATTATATATTATATGTATTATATATTATATATATTATATATATTATATAAATTATATATATTATATATATTATATATATTATGTATATCATGTATATTATGTATATCATATATATTATGTATTTTATATATTTTATATATATTATATATATTATATATGTTATATATATTGTATATATTATATATAGTATATATATTATATATATATTTATTTATATATATATGGTGGATATATAGTGGATATATAAAATGGATATATATCATAGGATAATCTCTATAAGTTGGATATTTCTAGCCATAGTTCTATACATTGGTTCTATCCCAACTTTTAGGATTCTGAGCATATTTATACCCATTTATAGCTCAGACATCTGATATTGATCCCACTTGACTACCCAACCTGGTTGTTCAAGGTAGTCATGGAAAATCAGCATATTTATTCAGGAAAATCATCATAAAATACCCATTTACATTATTGTAATAGGAAAATCATTAAAGAAAAAATATTTATTTCTATGGGCCATCTAAACCATAGATACGTAAATAACCAGAGGGTGGAAAGCATCCGCCGAGGCGCAGGAATCAGAAACTTACGCCTGGTCCATTTGTTCGGCCAACTGGAGCAGCATTGAAGGCCTGGGGATAGCGGTAGACTCCCAATCGATACTGTCAGTTGATAGCTGGTTGGTGGTTTGGAACATTTTGTATTTTCCATAGATTGGGAATTTCATCATCCCAACTGACGAACTCATATTTTTCAGAGGGGTAGGTCAACAACCAACCAGATAGGGCTTTGAAGACAGTTTCATCTACACATCATGAATTGGTTGAGAACTGGATGGAGTTAATGGTAGTCGCTCGGAAAATCAACGAACGAAATGGTGGATTTTCCAGCCACATGTGATGGCACCGGAAGGGATTCGGAGGGTAAATTTATTTTAATTTGGGGAATGGTAATTTGACAAGCTAGATTGCTGAGTACTTTGTCCTCGAAAGAATGCTATTTTCATATTTTCCCTGTTTATGTTAGTTGACAGTATCCCAAAGTTGCCATTGTTGATGGAGACATACCGATTTCCCTTCCATTCTATGCAATGTCTACACCGAACATGACGTTCATTTTCGGATGTACAACCATAGAAATGATGGTGCCCAATGGCGCCACTCACTAATCTTGTGCTAGCAATGGAGGTATATCAACCTAGCACAAACCTACCATAACATAGCCAGCTACTAAATGGCCCCCAAACGATAGCTAAGTTGGTGATCAGAACTCTCCCCTTTCACTCTTATGTAATTTTGATATATTTGAAACCGCTGGTCTGTCGATGTCAGGGGTTACCAACTTACAACTTTTTGATCCAATTAACCTGGCTGTTTGAGACCTCAGGATTGGAGGAAACGACGCAAGTGACACAGGCCACGTGGCCACACGGTCAGCTTATGTGGTTACCGGAGAGACAACGATACCGGGATAGATTAAATCAAATGGGGATATACAGTGACCATTAAGAATTCTGGCTTAACATCGTTTAACCATGAAAACTTTGTGATGCAACCATGAACAATGGATGTTGGTGCCCCGGCTGCTTAGCTAAGTTGGTTTATATGTCGGTCACTTACGATTTATGTATATTTATGGATTTTTGTTTATGATGGATGTTAGTCTACGTTTGATTATATTCAATGGGGTTTAGAAACCAACTTATTGACAGGCGGAACTAACAGAGATGAGGATGGTTGGATGCCTATGCAAAGAATCGAAGGCTAGGGCAGCATTTTGATGTTTGGATGATGAACATCCATAACTGCAAGATTTGGACTTGATTTTGGATGATTTTGGCCATAAACACCTGGAACCCTGCTTGTATAATAAGAGATGGTTTTGGAAGATGTTTTTTTTCCAGGCTTGAACATGGCCGATGAGGATGAGTTCCACGTCAATCCAACTTGGTCTAATCGACGACAAACTCAGCTGTTTGTAGGGGCTAGCATGATCCATGGATGTAACAGAAAACATGCTTGGACCAACACCGAGTACTGTCCGGTAATTCCACATACTAATGGAACATTCCCCCTCTATAGGTGATTTCCCCATCAAAACCTCTAATTTTGTGAAACTTACCCAAAGAAAGCAGGCTCACCATCAAAAATTGAGAAGAAATCGTGGCCATGACATATCCAACAATAAAGATCAAGACCAGGTAGTTATAGACATGACCAATGTGAAAAGTTGAAAACACCCCATCATCTGCCAGTCGTCGATTCATATCGTTTCTGCTCATTTGCCAGGCAATCCACATCCAAATGATTTCTGGTTGTGCACACTCCCTGTTGGGTTCCTTGTGAGATATAACAACACATTTCCCTACCTGATCTTGGGTGCGTTTTTACATTATCTCACGGCATTATCCAAAGTCCTACACTGAAGAACAATAGTCACCAAACATGTTTTTCTTCCCGAAGAATCCACCATTTTTTTCATAATGGACCCCCATGGAGCGTACCCCCACATTACAGTATGATATAGTTGTAGTTTGCTCAGGTTTAACCAGGGTTGACACTCACCTCCCGTTCCTTGAGCCAAAGTGGGGTCCCCCGTTGTAGCGATTGGTTGGTGAACACACCTCCAATTTCACTATGGTGGTTTGTGATACTTCTAACATTTTATAGCTAAGATACATGGGGGTTTACAAACCAGCAAACATGACCGGGGGGCTCTTAAATCCCTTCAAATTCCATGAAACCAACAATTACATCACACATAATCACACTAATTCTATGTCAACTAGATGGGTTTAGCCGTTTCGCCAAAGCCCACATGGCTTTAACGGAGCTTGAAGCCATGCCATGCCAGGTGGCCCCGGCGGCCCCTGAGCCCATCCTGGATCCGCTGAAACCGAGCGTCTCCAGCCTCGCTCCGAGAAGAGTTGACTGGCGGAAAAGTCATCTATGAAATGAAATGAGACTATAATTACCTGGTGGGATAATGAAATGGCGGAAAAGTCCCCATTTTCTATATTTATCCCACCATCCCATTATCTATGAAAGTCTATAAATGGTGGGATAATGGGACTTCATGGGACTGGGATTTCATGAGACTTCAAGATGAGAGTTTCCCTCATAAATGGAGGTTCTAGCTGGGAAAATCATCTGGAAATGCCGGATGTTCCATGATTTTGGGGGTGGGAGAAGTTGCAGTGGCAGCCTCCCAAGCCACCCCGCACCGGCTTGGACTTGGAGGATCATTCCACTAATCGTATCTGATTTTTGTATCACACAGTCTAATATATATATATATATCATTTATGCACAGGGCATCAAAGGAATTGGGGGCTTCCTAACCATGGTTACTAACCACTTGCTATAGGCCTGCACCTTTGGTGTGCACCAAAGGGGTGGCAAATTCCGTACTGTATAGGTTGGGTGACTCAGCTTGTGTGATTGGCACTCATAGAATATCATCGAATCGCATTCTCTAATACAGAGTGTCAGTAGATATACATACATATATATATATACTGTGATGTTGTATAGACGCTGTATTCTTGGTATCAAAAAACATTATCTGGTTGGTGGTTTGGAACATTTGGATTATTTTCCATATATTGGGAATAATCATCCCAAGTGACTTTCATATTTTTCAGAGGGTTGAAACCACCAACCAGTTATATACTGACAAAGAAAGCTGATTTCTCTCCTACCCTTAGGTCGTCGCTCCTCGCGCTTGGTGCCATCTCCCAGGCGAATAATGTTTTTTGTGGGAAATAGATGGGACTAGTAACATATCCAACAAATATGGTCCAACCATGAAGCCGATCATCGTACCGATGATTGAACACTAGTATTTGTTGGGAACGGTCGTATCCATAGAAGCACTTTATAGATGGTTCGTGATTAAGTAGTACATGGATAATACTACAATGTGGTTCCCCCCTGTGATGTTTGTTGGTTTATTGACCCCATTAACTAGTTCGTTATATCTACCATAAACCATGCTAACATTCATTCCATCCATGTTTTCATATGATTCCCATGGTTTCACCCGATGCAACGACAAAATTTGGGGATGATAGTTAGCACCCATTGATAATCAGACAACTCGTTTTAAGAAACATGGTTAGAATTATTGGAAATCCCATGGTTTTAAGACTATCAAAATTTCTGATCTCACTTGTGAGTACTGATATAGATCCCACTTTGGTGGTTTATTCTGCTACTCATACAGTTTCCAATGATTCGGACGACACCACTCACGTAGCATGGACCCCCCATGTTTGGGGGCCATGACCAAAATTCAGGTCCATTCTTACAATGTGTGGCCCCCAAGATAGTTAAATTGGTTTATAACTCCAATAACTATGGTTTATGATACTTATAATTAACTATAGTTACTGGGGTTTATAAACCAACTTATAACGGGGGGGCCACATTTCAGCACTTTGAAGCAATTTAGCCACGTTCTATTTTCAAATCCTCGCGCGTACACCCGTTCAACTGCATTTTGATCGCCTGATATTTGCACAATCCTCCATGTCGATCCATTTTGAGCAACGGAATCCCTGCCATATGCTCCATGTCTATCCATGTCAAATATCTAAAATGACTACCAAACGGACAAACGTGTTATTACTCACTAAATTTAAGAAGGCATTGCGTTGAATTGGATTTAATTGGGAGGTGAATATCCAACATTATTGGATTTACAATCATTAACAATGTTTACATCCTGTTAATACTATCATTATAATTCTATCCTATAGATTATCCAACATTATTGGATATACAATTATAGCATTTGATAGCATTATCCTGGCGATTCTTTTTGGAGCCCCAAGACATGACATCACTCGCCCGCCTGGCCGCAGATCGCCCGAGCCGGGCGACTCGCTGGAAGCTGAAGGTCGCGCCGGGGATCGTGGGTCGATTTTTCGAAACCGACAAGTTTCTTTATTGTATTCCTAGGTGTAGCACATGTTCTGCAGGTTTTCTTCTATATAGTGTTTTTTTGTTCAATCTGATTCTGCGATATGTTTTTTGTGGTCTACTCCACATGTAAACTAGAAAATGTACTCGAATTCAATATGAAGGTACACAAAACTTAAAGAGAAATTGGTTCAACGACACTACATTTTGTATTGCTGAATGTGTGATGAAGTTGAGACTGTGCATATCAGAGAACCAACTCAAACCAGCCGCTAGGTGTTTCGCCTGGTGAGTATTTGCCGCTGGTGGTATGCTCTTTGGAAGGCAGGGGCTCAGCTGAGATAGGAAAATCATCCCGAAGGGGTTCGTTTTGTTTTCAACCATACTTAGGATGATTTGATGTGATAAAACCACGAATCAGTTTATGTGTTCATATTTCCACACTTTTTCAGAAATATAGAATACTATACTTGGCTCTCAATGGATGGTGGTTGCAGTGGTGATTCCGATGACCAGACGCAGGTAGAGCAGTTGGTTTCTTGTTTTGGGGGATGCAAAAGTCATTCCACTGGGATCACTGCAACAAGTCCAGAAAAAAAAAAGGTCTACATGGGCACACATGTTTCTGAAAATCGTTCGTGATCCATATGTCTGGTAGTTGTAGAGTGTTTCCTGAGAGGAAAGATATCATACGAAGCACGTCACCACGCGGATTTGTTGGAGAATAGGCTACCCCTTATTGCAATGGCATTTCCAGGTTGGCCCCTGTACTCATATAAATTTTAGACACACCATGACACACCCACCTTTATCACTTTGTTGGTTTTATAGATCCTTATTCCTATTGAATCGCTAAAATGTGGAGCCACCAGTTTTGTTGCTTACTAAACCCCATGAATACCATAGTTATAAGATGTAAGTATCATAAACCATAGTGAAATTGGGATTATTAAAACTCGCCAACTCAGCTAGGCGGCGATGAAGCGCGACAGAGGAGGCCATGATTTCATGGGTCATGGGTTGGTATCCAGGGCAGAAGCCATTGCTGTTTTGGTGAACAGGTTCCTTGCTGTTTTCTGGTTGGTGGTTTGGAACATGAATGGATTATTGTTCCATATACTGGGAATTTCATCATCCCAACTGACTTTAAGTCATATTTTTCAGAGGGGTGGCTCAAGCACCAACCAGTTCGACTGTTTTGATTTCATCATCCCCCAAGTTTCGACATGTGCCAAGCGCCTCGACATGGAGATCTGCTCGTTCGCGTTTCATCGTTACAGCCGCGGCTCGCCGCAGAGTGTCAACTCCGCAGTCCAGGGATGCCAGGGATGCTTTTTCAGGTCAACATATTTCAGGGGTTGGTAACTGTCCCATTTTGGGAATATTGGACATCACCTTATAGTAGCCATTATAAACCATATACCTAATGGTTGGGTGATGTTCAATGGGGACATTTAATGACCCATGTATTTAGACGGTGTTTTTGTTCAGCTCAGCAACTTGAGTCCAACATTAGGCGCAACCCCCCGGTTGGCCCCCACTACTTTTGCAGGCTTTAGAAGGATATTGAAGAGGGATATTGAAGGGCGTGTCGGTGGGAATCTTAAAGATGTTTCAGCAAAGTCTCTAGGGAATCATCAAATCCCAACGCTGTTCAAATTTATATTCAAGGGAATCTTCAATATGGCTCAAGAGTTTCTAGGGAATGATGAATTCCCCACCCCCCGTTTAACTTTATAGCCAAGGGAATCTTAAAGATGTTCCAACAGAGTGACAAAGGATGAGGATGAGGATGAGGATGATGATGAATGATGATGAATGATGATGATGATGATGATGATGATGATGATGATGATGATGATGGTGATCTCACAAAACACAGTGTTTCTTGATGTTACACGTCGACGTCGGGCAAACGCACAGGGTTGCCTGTAACAATACTGAGATGAACAAAATCTGGTTGGACATGAGTCAATACGACATAGGCATAGGGACTACTTTGCTCCCATCATGTTTTTTTTTGCATAAAAGCTGCCGACCACGGATTGGGCTGATTTTATTGAGGTCCTGATGGTGGCATTGGCTACCACATTACTACAACCGCCAATCCACATGTTTTCTGGACATGGGCTCACATGTAAATCATGTAGCCAGCACAAGACTTGGCATCCAATCCCACAGGTTGGTAGGTATCCCTGGTACACTGTGGGTGTAGTCATCTTCAATTTACATCAAATTACCAGGTGAAGAAACCCGGATAATTGCCGATGAACAGCGATGCTTACCTATTGTGGATGGAAGAAATCCTGCACTGCTCGCTGGACAATGGGAGCTGAAACACCCTGTGAAGAGCTTGCAATGCTTTGGCCACTCGTGTAGTCTGATGAATATCATTCTTACACTTGTCCATTGTCAGGTACCACCCCAAATATTTGACCCTAGATTTGAGAGTCAGGGGTGCAGATATCTTCCGGCTTTCGCCTTGGTCCTTCCCAAAACTTCGGATTTGGCAGGGTTCAATTGCTGACCAATACAGTAGATGCATCAAATCTATTAATTTCATTGAAAGCTTCAACAACTTGGGTCTCGAAGGCAAAGGGGCTCAAATTTTGCAATCATCTATGAAAGTAGACAGACACCATCCGGAGGTTTCCAAAAACGGGACCCAAAATAATCCAAGTCATTAGACAATCTTAATATTGAAACGTATTGAAACCATTTGAAACCCATGGTGACTTGGGATCCCCCTTTTGAGAAATCCCCAATGTCCATCCTTGTTGTTCAAGATGGCTCGGAAGCGCCGACGCCCTTTTCCAACTAAACCTGGCTGACGGGGATATTTATCGATCTACCAAGCTCAGAATCTTCATGTGTGCTTGCCATGTTGATATTGATATTATCGTTTTGACTCCCATGCTGTTAGGTAGAATCCGCTTTTGCTGGTCAAAACTAGTTGAAAACCGTGATCATAATCTATATACCTGGGCATATGAGATCATATGAGTGCACAAATCCCCATATGGATGGTTGATTAGTTATAGTAATAGTACATGTGGTTGCCAAGAATCCCGTGGTTTATCATCATGTCCCCTATCAAAATGGAAATGGACTGGGTCTCTCCCATCTTCACACCCATATACAATACATTACAATACTATGTTTTTATATATGTCATGAATTGTCATGATATGTTCACGTGTTTTCCTTCAACCCTATTATAGAATCCGGATCAGCAAATCCAAGTAATCCCCTTGAAAATCATGATAATTATACAGTATACATATATAGTTATACTATAACCCCCTATAAAATCATCATTTACCCTCTGTTTCAGCCCGGTGCTACCCCTTCAACATATCATGGCGACCCCGCCTTTTTCGTCTCGACTGGTCGCAGGCCCAGTTCGTCCACACCAACCTTGCTGGGGAGGCGACCTGGCGACTGGTGATATGTTTGATAAATGATGCTTGATGTATTAAGATTAGAGCATACAGAAAGATGTGGAAAACCCATGAAAGCCCATGGTGAAAACCAATCGGAAAATGATATATATATATATGTATGTATACATTTTCATGATATGGGTTTTCCACAGTGAACTGTTGGTTTACAGGAGGGTAACCACTGAGATTTTATTTATCCTGAGAATTGTTCACTAATGATCTTTATTGATCACTTTGGGTGTTTAATGGTTTTGTTAATTAATCCCTCAGCCGCAACATTAGATAGAAGATGGGCATGGAAATCGCGTTATGTTAGGGGTAAATTGGGTAAATATCATCGAACCACCATCCCGGGAAAACTGTTGTGATGGTTTTGTATCGGTGCCAAGCTATATTGTTTCTCACGAAGTGGGTTCTGAAAATCAATCCTGGAGGAAAAGGGGCTGTAAAATTCATGGAGTAAACTGAGTAAACAAAGGTTGTTAGTCACTTCTTGAACATCACTAACCGGTCTTGAAATTTTCAAAACAATACTTTAAAAACGATAATTTACGTGTTTTTACAACGGAAATCAGGAAATCCGCTCCTACCCTCTAGGACTGATTGATTTTACTTCAAAATGTGTTGGTCAGATTGCCTCACGGACTGAATGTTATGGAACCTTGTGGAGGAAGGTTCAGAACCCAACTGAACATGACCCTAGTTTCGCATCCAAGGCAAGTCATGCTATCTATCCGTCAAACTCCACACAAAATAGAGCTGAATTGATACCCCCAAAACTGATTTTCTTTTGAATTGCTGTTGGGGAATGAAAGGGATGAACTATACATTGTACTAGTATATCCATATATGTCCTTTCATAACTATACATATAACTATCAAGAAAACAAGAATGCAAAAAAAAGAAAAACAAGCCTCAGCCGCATCCAAGATTCTCGAACATCGACGCGCTATTCGCAGTTGTAACCTCCAACCATCTCCAAGACCGTGTTTGGAAATGCTGAAATCTGATCTTAAACATATCTTATGAAAATGAGACCATACTTGTAGATAAACATATTTTTAAAATGATCATAAACAAAGCAAGTATAGAACTTGATCATAACTCATAATCATATCTTATCGGTGGGGAATCTCAATCCATGGGATATGATATTATAATGATCCGTGACCATAATAAATGAATATAAATCATATGAAATACCAATGAATCATATCTGACCATGGAATATTGATTATACTCAATCAATATACTATAAAATAGACATATATATATATATATACATATGATCACATATATATATATAGATATAGATATACAATATATAGATTATACAAGTCTTATGAAATACCACCTGAATCACATTTGATCTAAAAAGGCAGCCTATTTTCGGAGCCAATATGCTGTCAGGTCTGCCACGGGTAAGCGACGAGGTCCTTCCGGGGCTGAAGATGGATTTCTTTCAGGAGAAAACCTCACGAAGTGATGGGAATATCTTTGGAAATCCAAAATTCTATGTATAGAATATATATATATCACAAGATGATTATACGTGTATATTATATTATATCTCATGATACTGTGGATGCTTGCGAAATCCTGCACCAGTTCGTAGATGGTTTATCCCCCTATAATCCCATTAGTCGCAGTGTTTGATAGTTACCATTGGTTACCAGTAGTTCCCAACTCGAATTTCGCCACCATCCGCAGTATCTTCAAAAGTAGCAGAGAAATTCTGGAGCGGATGTCCTTTTCCGTGACATTTCCATGACATTTCCATGACATTTCCCATGGATATCATGATGAGATGGCACTTGGATCGCGCTTGCTGCGCCATAAAATCCAGGTTGAATTTTCAGTCCTCAGAGTCCAGCCGCCTGAATTGCCCCAAAAAAAAACCACCTGGATCTTCCGTTGGGTTTGTCTGAAAATGTTGGGTAAAAATTTCCCAATGAAATAGCCATTTAAAAACGGGATAATGATCAGCAAAACCATTGGGTTTAGGGGTACACAACATTTTCAGACACACCCAGTTGGCATTTTTGTGGTGTTAAAAGCGGAGGGTGACCGTTTCATAGCTGGGATTTATGGATGTTCCCCGCTATGATACAAAGGTGTCATATCCCATCCTAATTTGGATATCGGTTGACGATTCAAATGTCAGGTTGGCACTTTTAAAACAAATGGGTCCGTTTGGGAAGCTCCTGTGCCTTGTTCTCTGATGTCCAGAAGCATCACTATCATGACAATTACGTAAACATACCTAAACTATCCAACAGTTTTGTCTGGAGTCTAAAGGTCACGTCCGAAGAATCATAACCCAAACCATTCATGCGTCAAACAGAGGTCACTTTGATTCACTTTGCTTCCAAGTTTTCTCAAACTGGTTGAAGCGAAAATCTAAACCGGACACCCCGATTTTGGGATGAAATGTATATATAATATTATATATATATATATATTCATGTTCCATTGACCATCTTTAAACTTTAAACCCAACCAATCCCAACCATTGCAGGTTAAGGATGGTGCTCTCTGATAATCAACCACATAGCAATGGAAAATCAGCGATTCATATCTGAGCTGACCACTAAAACCTCCATTTGTAGTGTAACGTGTAGTGTTTTCCCATGATTTTCCCACGTTTTCCCATGGTATTCCCATTACCCATGTTTGATGGGGCCACACGATGCCTGAGGCGGCCTTCCTCTCTCCGGTGAGGCGATTATGAGGAAATACGATGAAATACGAGTTGTTTTTTTAATGGGTTTATCTATAATGTCTATTGTATATATATATGAGTCCGGACTCCGGATCCCTGGCCCCCCCCCCATGGTATGGTCCCCCAAGCTCACGCCCCCCCAATGGTATGGTCCCCCAAGCTCACGCTCTCGGGAACGCCGGACACGGGACCATACATACATGCATGCATGCATAATGTGAAATATGCCGTTCAGCGACTTTTGCCTGCAGTTTTTGAAGCCGGTGCCGCGACTTTTGGTTGCCTGCCGTGACTTAGGGCACCAGCCCACTAGCTGGTTCGGGTTCGCACACATGTAGGCATGGTACCAGTTTGGAAATCATCGCAACCCGCCCATACTTGTATTTAACCCTTTGTCCGCATCCTGGACAATACCCTGAGAAGACTCCGTTGTGCAAGATGTTCAATGTTGCTTAAAGATGGGCAGAAATCAAGACACATTGCCTAAACTTGTTGCCTAAACAAGAGACTACTGGCAACATGTTTACTCAACTGTTTTGGCTGGTGTTTTTGGTGTTTTCTGTTCCCCCTTGTCCAGGAGGTGGACCGCGGGATAGCTCAGCAAGTTGTCGGGGTGATTGGAACAGTGCCACCCTTCGTCACTGTCCTATTGATTGGACATATGATCTTCATAGGTGCACCGGGGCTTCAACCAATATCGCATATGCCAGCTTGTGAGGCCGATGTGGAGCAGCCGTGCAATTTTAAGCTCTGGAATTTCGACGGAGTGGGACACTCAATTGGAAATGTTCGCTGCTGCCCAAGTGACCAAACTGTGAAGATGTCAACAAATCGTGGCCGCCGTTCGTTGTCTGTGCTAAGAAACGGGGCAATCAACATCATGAACGGCTGGAACAGTGGGTCTGCCGCAGGTGGATGGAATAAGCGACGTATCCAATCAGAGCTGAAGGCACGTAGCTTGCGTTGTCAAGGTGGTTGGCTGGTGGCTCATTGTTATCCTCGTGCCATACCTCCAAAAAATGTGCCTTGCGTATCCCTATAATCCAACCATCCAACAACACATGCGTATTGTGCTTTCATTCGGCAATGTGGCCAATTTTCATGAACGTTGACTTTAGAAGCTTGAAACCCATTGGTGATCGCGGTACCCCCACGGCGATCGCGAGGCCCAGATACTGTAATACTGTTCAATGGAGGAGATTCATGTCTTTGTGCTTACCACGTGCATTCATATTGGACCCAAGGTCAAATTAGTTTCTCATGCAGGTTGGAACCACCCATTACTACAGTAGATGCGTTTGGTTTAAGGCTGTGTGTATGGGGGGTCTGGTTTGTTGCACTTATTTTGTTTTTCCACATGTTGTTCATGATTTTGATGATGCTTGTGATGATTGTGATGATGACTCAGCCGCATTTTGCATTGGGTTTGCTGGGTCACAGGTGGTCTTGAGCAAAGTCAAACTTGTTCAGAATCGCTAAGATTTAAAGAGTGACAAAGTGCAGGTAGAATTGGGTATCCTGTTCTTGTCTCGACTTGAAGATGTTTCAGATTGTCTCCAAAGATCTCTGAGGTCTGTGAGGAACGATTTCAATTTTCAAGTGGACCGCAAGTGACATGGTGACACCAAGCAGCAAGGCAAAAAAAGGCGCTAGACTGCCCATCTTGCCTCATCCCATACATCCTCACATCTCCGGACGAAGTTTTTGCTTCCATCACTTTGATTTGACACATCGATAGACTACTTTCGTCTACTTTCTGTGCTCTGTGTGTCGAACATAGTTGCCTTTTTTGGCGCGATCTGATTTTTCCCGATGTAGTCATAAATGTTGCCGGAAATATGGACACTGAAAGGGATCTGGACGCTGGAACATAGGGGGTTCATGAAAGCACCGCAGCTGTCGGTTGATTTCTGACTTTTTCCTGATTTTTGCAAAAACCCGACCAGCACTTCAAAAGCTGATACTACTGTAGCCTTCCGTAGCTTCGAGAATCTTGCGCCAAATGTCCACCACTTTTTGGCTCATCTCAGCACCGGCTACACTCAGGGTGTTTGAGCAGGATCACTTGATAGGCCGACATGTTTCCAGCAGGAAATGGTGAGAGGTAATCTCAGATCACGGACATAGATTGCACGAGTTTCCGTTCCACTTTCCAAAAAAGAAATGCCAGCCATGAGATGAGCATTGTTTGCATGCAACCTTTCACGAACAGACCATAGTGCAGTAACAAAGGGACTTGTAGTGCACCCCTGCCTTTCATTTTCTTTACCCCACTCACGCAAATCATTCGGCCATGTACTGCTATCCAAGCTGGGAAGGCCCTGGTGATTCCGAATGACGTGTGCTTGGAGTGCAGTGTGCTTTGAAATTTCAATCGTCACAGATGAAACGCAAATGGCTGGATCCAGGCACCACTGAGACAAGGCTCCAGGAGCCTGGGCCCTGGGGTTGATCGTTGATCAAAACATATCAAAACCATTCAAAACCAATCTATGGATACCAACGTCTATCGTTTACAAATTGGTTTAACAATGGTTTCTTCATGTTTCTCTACGGGGGGGACGCCAGCGATGGCTCCACTGACAGGGCTTGGAAGCGCATCCCATTTTGAGACAAGCCCCTTCGATAGATTGCGCCACAGATCAGAGCCTATCAGAACCCATCAGAACCTCAGGTTGGAGCGTCAGATGTGCGTGAAGGATAAGCAGTATGAGTGGCTGCAGGAAATGTTTTCCAAGCAGCAGGTGGGGTCCCTTTGTTATTTTTTTGTGGCGGCAAACATGTTGGAGCAGAATGCTTGGATGCTGCGAACCAGTCCGGAAGAAAACGGAAAGCGAGTCAGCAAGGGGGCGCAGCGTAACACAGGGTTCATTTGCACATCACACATCCCAAAGGCTGCATGCAACATAGCACCAAAAATTCAAAAACTGAGCTCCCATGCAGTAAAAATGGCCTTAGACAAACCCAACAAGCCCTCCAAGACCTCAAAATAAAAAAGCCCCCGCATCGCGTCAACGCACATCTTCCTTTAGGTCTTTATGTTGATGCCAAAAAGAACGTTCTAGTTCTAGCACACTTGGCTCGAAATAGCCGCATATGGCCTTATAGCCCTCCAAGATCTCAACATAGCCCTCCAAGTGGCCCAATACGCCTGCACATGACCCCAGATAGGCCCAACATAGCCTTGAAATGACCCAATATGGCCACTTGGGCCAAGATAAGGCCAACATATAGCCCTCCAACTGACCGAATATGTTGTAGGGCCGAACATAGGCCCGAAGTGGCCCAATATAAGCCCAACAAAATCGTAAATTGCCAAACAAAACCCCCAACTTGACCCGTGACATGACGCAGGATAGGCCCAAAATACACCCCAAATGAATCTTAATAACGTTACTCTCCCGTTGGGGTTGAAAAAATGCTTCTACATTGCTCCGAAGGCAATTTTTTCACGGTATTTACAGTGATTTTTGCACATCACACATCCCAAAGGCTGCATGCAACGTAGCACCAAAAATTCAAAAATTGAGCTCCCATGCAGGAAAAACGCGTTTTTTTTTACGCGGACGCATCCCCGCAAACATGCGCAAGAAGCAATCTCTCTCGTTGGGGTTGGAAAAATGCTTGAAAAACTGCTTCTACAGTGCTCCGAAGGTTTCACGGTATTTACAGTGTTTTTTGCACATCACACATCCCAAAGGCTGCAGGCAACATAGCACCAAAAATTCAAAAATTGAGCTCCCATGCAGGAAAAATGGCCTTAGACAAACCCAACATAGCCCTCCAAGACCTCAAAATAAAAAAGCCCCCGCATCGCGTCATCGCACATCTTCCTTTAGGTCTTTATGTTGATGCCAAAAAGAACGTTCTAGTTCTAGCACACTTGGCTCGAAATAGCCGCATATGGCCTTATAGCCCTCCAAGATCTCAACATAGCCCTCCAAGTGGCCCAATACGCCTGCACATGACCCCAGATAGGCCCAACATAGCCTTGAAATGACCCAATATGGTCACTTGGGCCAAGATAAGGCCAACATATAGCCCTCCAACTGACCGAATATGTTGTAGGGCCGAACATAGGCCCGAAGTGGCCCAATATAAGCCCAACAAAATCATAAATTGCCAAACAAAACCCCCAACTTGACCCTGACATGACGCAGGATAGGCCCAAAATACACCCCAAATGAATCTTAATAACGTTACTCTCCCGTTGGGGTTGAAAAAATGTTTCTACATTGCTCGGGAGGCATTTTTTTCACGGTATTTACAGTGATTTTTGCACATCACACATCCCAAAGGCTGCATGCAACGTAGCACCAAAAATTCAAAAATTGAGCTCCCATGCAGGAAAATCGCGTTTTTTTTACGCACATGACCCCAGATAGGCCCAACATAGCCTTGAAATGACCTAATATGGCCACTTGGGCCAAGATAAGTCCATCCATCCATCCATCCATCCATCCATACATACATACAGACACACACACAGACAGACATACATACCTATATACCTACCTACCTACATACCTACATACCTACGTACCTACGTACCTACGTACCTACATACACACGCACATACATACATACCTACCTACCTACATACAAACATACATACAAACATACATACCTATATACATACATACATACATACCAACATACCAACATACCAACATACCAACATACCAACATACCAACATACCACCACCACAGGCCACAGGGAGGGGGGGGGACCAGAAGAACCATACCACCACCACAGGCCACAGGGGGGGGGGGACCATGGGGGGGGAGGGGGGGGCTTGGGAGTCCTGGGTCATATATATATATATATATATATGTACGATTATGTATGTATGTAATGATTAATGTATATCCCTATGGATCCAAACAGTGTCTGAGAGTCTGAGAAGGTACGGCTAACCCCCTAAATCATACCCCAAACACTTCCTAAGAAGGTACTTGGATCCATATGGGTCCATATGGTGTATATGTGTATCTGTGT